CTTGCTTTTTCAAGGTGGTGAACCTGGAACTTTAACATTCTAGACAAGTGACACTGACTAAGCAAATTACTGGTTGCTGTTGGTATGTAATAAACATCAGGAATGAATGCATCGAGCTCTTCAACATAAACAGTTCCTTTTCCTTTGACCTGGCAAGGATGATTTGAAAAAGAATAAAGTTCACGTAGTTCAGGTTCAGGCTCGTGCATCTCTGTGAAAAGTTCCTTTCTGTAGGTAACATGCAATGCTGCACCACTGTCCAAAGTCCACAGGAGTCGTCTGTCGTACTCTGGTTGAGGTTGTGGATCATTGGTTAAAGCCAGTGTGGCGAGTGGAGTTTGTGGATCACGCCGGGGACCACAACGACCTTGTCTTTCATCTCTGCCTCTGCCTCTGGAATCTGTTCCTCTGGGCTGGTATGTGACAGGAGCTGGAACTCGTTGGGGACAATCCCGGGTGGCATATCCCACACGATTGCAGGTGTAGCATCTTGGCATCCTTGGAGCATAGGTCCTTCCTCGGAAGGGGCGTCTAGCTGGAGCTCTTGATGCGGGTGGTCCTCTCAAGTGTGGTGTGGCCAGCATGAATGCCTCTTCTTCAATTAAAAGTCTACAGACATTGTCCACTGTGTGTTGAGCAATTGGGACTTGGTTAATTTTTGTAACAGCATCTTTCCATTCATAATTCAAAGAGTTAATAATGATGCTGATCATTTGAATATCTTCAATGTTATGGCCTCTTTCTCTCAATTCTGTTCTCAGTCCTTTCAGTTTGGTCAAATGTCCTCCAATTTGTTCACCAGGTTTCAATCTCGAACCGTGGAGTTCAGACATGAGTAAACATGAAGATTCAATTGAGATAGGCCTGTAGCAATTTTCCAATTCAGCCCAAATTTGTCGGGCTGTTGTATTTGGTGGAAAAGTGACCTGCAGTTCAGTATCCATGGACATCAATAATGTTGTGCGAGCCCTTATCTCTAAATCTCTTATTGCTTAAGTCCAAGGTGGAGCAGGTGGGTTAAATACCATACAGTGCGTGCCTTCTCTAAAAAGCAATAGTGTAATCTCACTGACCCAGGCTTTGTAATTGTGTCATGACATTTTTAGTTTTGACTCACCAGTTAGTGGAGAGACAGAAAATGCCTGGTGAGGAGCCTGCACTTGGTATGCTGGCTGTGCTGGCAGAAATGCCTGTGGTATTTGCTGTGCCTGTTGTGGACCTAAAAATGGTCTTGGTTGTGCCATTGGAGGTGGGCCAGGAGGTGGCCCTATTTGCACTTGTGGCTGGGGCACATATGCAGGCATTTGTAGCTGCTGTGGCTGATGCACTGGAATCTGCTGTATTCCAGTTGCCATTTGTGCTTGATCTGCAATATTGGCATGACCTGCTGGAGATGCAATCACTTGCCTTTGCTGCATAAAGCGTGCCTGTGTTCCATCTAAAAAGACACCAACACCGCCAGGGGGTGTTTGAGTTTGGGCCTGTGGAAACACTTGTGGCATTTCAGCTTCCTGTAGTAAATTACTTTCGCCAGCAGATGGTGCTGCACCTTTGGGCAGCTTTGCATACGTGGCATTGTATGCTTTAGAGTAGGAGTGGTTATGTAAGGCATGTGTAACTTGATCAGGGAGACTTTCATGTGACGTATGCAGTGCCCTCTGTCTTAATTGGCCTGACACAGAATCCACCAGGGGGAGTGTCTTTGGCTCTGGAGAAGAAGGCAATATGGCGCTTTTTGAAAATCTTAAGTTATCTCCCTTATCTTGCTCAAGCATAGATATAGCCATTTTTGCCTGGGATAGCTGCTGTTCATAGAGTTTTATACGGTCACGAAAGGCTTTCATAGCCAGCTCATCCAGGGTGAGCTTAGAGCTTCGAGGAGAATAATGAATTGTTTCTCTCTCTGTGTGGGAGGAATTTTGCTCAGCAGTTTGCTTTAGCCTTGCATCGAGCGTTACAAATTCAGAAGGTTCTGGGAAGACTTTTTCAGAGCTTGGAAGATCAGAAGAAAATGTTACTGACCTCAGTCGTAAATCATCATCTTCAAAAACAGCTTCTGTCTTATCTCCCTCCATTTCTGTTCCCACGGCTTTTTCTTGTTCCAGGCATGTGGCTGTAGTAAGGGGCTGGAAATCTGAAAATCTCCTGTCTGCCACCTCTTCGTTAGAAAGATCAATCAAATCATTTACGAAGAGTGGTCTTGGTTTCACTTTGCCTTTTTTCTTCTGTTTCGGCATCTTAGCAATATAATTAGCGTACCTCAGTAGCTAAAAACTAATTGCCTATGCGCTCTTATCAGAAGTAACAAAACAAGGAAAAAAGCCATAAATCAACCATCCTCGTGCTATCAGATGTCAGGGCATTTATTAATCCCATGTTTGGCTCTGGGACTAATTACCCTGGTTTAGATTAGAGGAGATGAATCGAGGCTTATTCCTTGTTGCAATATTCCGAAAAAGAAACGCGAGAAAGGTTTCTAATAAAATTCATTTATTTGTTATAAAGAAAATAAAACACCTCACTAACTAAGAAAAGTTAATTGTTACATTTTGGAAGTAATTTGGGCCAGCTGCCTTTCAGCAACCGGCACCCATGGCAAGAGAACAAAGGGAAGAGTGTGAAGGAATGTGGGTGGATACGGAAACACGTAGCTTACTGATAAGAAGTTGGCAAAGCTACGGAGTCAGATAGTCCAGAAATAATGAGCTCAGCTGGTAAATAAAATAACGCAGTGACAGTTCAGCAAGTCTAAGCCACGCCCAGACTACAAACTGTCTCTTATGGCCCCATACAAATACTATGTTTCAGTTTCCAAACAGTCCCCATTAGCTGACCTGTTACCATGTCTATTCCAGCTATGAATATTCATAATCTGACACTCCTCCCTTTATAATTGGAATAGAAATAAAACCAAATAACTTACTATTCTTCCCATGGTGTACTCCACCCAATGGCTTGGTCATTATGTCTGCCAAATTGTCCTCTGTAGAACAGTGAAGCAAGCTAATCAATTTACATTTGATGGCTTCTCTGACATTACAATATTTAATGTCCACATGCTTGCTTCTATTTTTTACTCTGTCACTTGTTGCCATTCCATTCATGGAGTCAGTTTCTTGATCAGTTGACGATCAACTTTTTATGCAGCAGCAACCACAATCTCCCACACACTGTTCAGAGAGGTGTACTGTTTTTCTTCACCGTAAATCTCCCGTTTAAGAAGGACCCATAAATTCTAAATAGGGTGTAGGTAAAGTGAGGAAGGGGGCCATGTCATTATTCTTTCATCTTTTAAGGCCTTTACTGGCTAGCCACACAGTGGAGTACTTTGAGGCATATGATGGAGCATTGTTCTGCATAAAAATCATGGTATTCTTGAAAGATGCACTTTTTCCCTGTACTACTGCTTGAAGAAAGTGTCTTCTAAAAACTGGCAGTAGGTTTGGGAGTTAAGTCCATCTTCAACCCAAAAAGGTCCAACTAGCTCATCTTTAATAATACTAGCCCATACCAATACCCCACCTCCACCTTGCTGGTGTCTGAGTCAAAGTGGAGCTCTATGCTAGTTATCATGTTTTCCCGAAAATAAGATAGGGTCTTATTTCCTTTAACCCCCGAAATATGGCCTTGGCCTTATTAGTGGGGATGGGGTGGGTGTCTTATTATTTTTCAGGTGCAGGAGACCCCTAAACTTCGGCCCACTGCAGGGGGACTGGTGCGGAAGTGCTGACCAGCTGCTTTGCCGGTGCTGCTCAGGCCGCTGCCTCCAGCAATCGTTGCAGCTTTTAATTTGCTTCCTGTGCAAACAGCACGAGGTGAGGAAGCGAGGCGGGGGGGTTGAACAGTGGGGGAACATGCCCCACATGTACCTGCCAGCTTCCTGGAATGGCTTTGCGGAGGCCGCTCCAGCAAACCGTAGCTTGCGCGCCCCTTCTCTTAGTGGCTGCAAAGAGCTCCCCACTGGAGCTGAAGCAGAGAACAAAAGGATGGCTGGGAAGAGTTTAAAAGAGAGAATCCAAGGTGCTGGTTCTCAAGTTACACACCACTGGGGGGGGGGAAGGAAAGGGGAGCAGGAGAAGAAGGGCTGGCTTGGATTGCAAAAGCCACGGACTGGCTCGATCGCCTTCCTCTTGAAGATCCTGCAGGGCAAACAGGAGATCTGGGGTTTGGGTGAGCGGCAGAATTCTTGCTTCTCCGCCTCCCCACCCCTCTCAACCTGCCACTCCCTCTCGCGGGCCAAGATCACCAAGCCTGATTCAGGGAGCTGAACATGCTGCTGCCGCCCAGGAGGAGAAGAACATCAGAAATGGGCTCTCTCACAGCGCCTCCTCTCTCTTCTCCTGAGTGGCAGTGGTGCATCTGGCTCACCGAATCTGGCCTGCTGATTTCGAGCGAAAGCGGCAGCAGCAGCAGTTCTGACCTGATCCTTGTTGGTAATGCTGCGGGCAAGAACCGGCCATGCTGATCCCGCTTCATGGCTGTGAAGACAGCCTGCACCGGCCACTGCTCGGAACTCTGGTACCGGTACCCCTCCCCCCAGGCTGACAGGGCTAGGGCTGGCAAGAGTTTGTTTGCGGCTGGTCTTTGCGGCTGCCACTAAGAGAAGGGGCGTGCAAGTTATGGTTTGTGGGAGCGGCCTCTGCGTGGCTGTTCTAGGTGGATGGCAGGTGCGTGTGGGACATGTTCCCCCTGTTCGCCCCCCGCCTCGCCTCCTCACCTCATGCTGTTTGCATGGCAGTTGCGCATGCATATAAGTTTTTTTTGGGGGGGGGGCTTATAGCGCGTGCGCTGGAAAGCCCAATTGGGCTTATTATCAGGACATGTCTTATTTTCTGGGAAACACGGTACTGTTCCAGCCACGGGCCCATTTATCTGGTCTGTCAAGAGTCACTCATCTCATCAGTCCATAAAATCTTTGAAAAATCTGTCTTCAGATATTTTTTGGCTCAATCTTGCTTATGTGTCTTGTTCAGTGGTGGTTGGATTTCAGCCTTCCTTACCTTGGCCATGTCTCTGAGCACTGAACATCATGTACTTCTGGGCATTCCAGGTAGGTTGCAGTTCTGGAATATGACAGCACTGGAGGATAATGGATTCCTGGTAGCTTCACATTTAATTCTTCTCACATCTTTGGCAGTTAATGTGTGACTTTTTTTCTCAGCAAGTTTCTTGTGACGCAGTTGACTATTTGCAACAAAACGTTTGATGGTTCTGTGATCCTACCCCCAATATCTTAGCAATTTCAAGAGTGCTGCATGCCTCTGAAAGACTTTTTACAATTTTTGACTTTTCAGAGTCTGTTAAATCTCTTTTGTGGCCTATTTTGCCTGAGGAAAAGAAGCTGCCTAATAATTATGCACACATTGATATAGGGTTTTAATCTCCTTAGACCATACACTCCCTCATTACACAAAAACACATCACTGATATACTTATATCCACTAAGCATTCAAGTTTATACAGCTTGGAGATGTATAAAAATGATATGGTCAAAATACTCACTTGCCTAATGCTAAGTGCCTCGCTTGCACACAGTGTAAATTAACCATATTGTGGTTTAACACAGTAGCCTCATTCCCACAAGAATATAATTGGCTCAGTCCTCAAAACACAGGGATCCACACAATATCCAACCTTATTAGGACTTTTTGTAGATATTAGTTATTAAAACCTCTAGATCATCATCCCCCTCCAAGTGAGATCTGCACCCATCCCTTTGGCCTGAGAAAAGGGCCTGAAAACCTGGCTCTGCCAACTGATCTGGGCCCAAATGGAAATGTGTCATTCTGGAGGTGGTTAACGGACTGAGTTAAAACCCCCATCTCCTCCCTGTGTGTATCTGCTTTATTCTTTTCCATCTTTGTCAATTTAAATCAATTTTAGTGTTAATATTTATTATTTTACTTATAAACTGCCTAGAGTAGCCTCTAGGCGAGATAGGCACCATATAAATCTAATAAACAAGCAAACAAACAAACTATTCTCTAAATACTAAAACCAACCACCTATTAGAAGGCGAGTTCAATCGGGTTTACTCCCACAGAAGTGTAGATATGCCTACCCCAACATAGTGCGCTCCAAAGTACTGAATCCCAGCACGCGGCTACCGCTTGTCTGAGGATGATGGACCTTGTAATCCAAACCTTAGGAGTGGACCAGGCTGGGGAAGGCTGCTCTACCCACTTACCTGGGAGTAAGTCACACTGAACTCAGTGGAGCCTGTTTTCGGTTAGGCAGACATAGGCTACCGCGGTTTTGACATGGGGCCAGGCCTGCTTAATCAAGCCGATGTTTTGGGGTTGCCGGCCTGGCCCATAAGCGCCGCCTCTGCTGGGGCACTCACAGCGAATGGTGTGAAAGGAGGCTTTAGGGTGCCGTTCGAAGCTTTCGCCCAGCTGCAGAGGATGCTCCTCCTTGTCCAGCAGCGGGTTCGCCACGCCGTTCATGGCTACCGGGGCGGCCGCCGAGAACAACAAGAACCCCCGCAGACGCCCCGCCCGGCCGCCTTCTCTTCCGGCCTCGGAGCAGGGTGCAACTGGGAAAACACTCCCCGTCCGGGGGAACCGATCGAGAGGGACCACGCAGTTTGGCGGTACTGTAAGGTGTCACCGTGGTTTTTGAGCAAGGGAGATCCGGGAATCTTTTGAGGGGAAAGAAGGGCATGCGGGTGGCGGGACCAAGGAGGTCTTTACCGTTCCCAAACAGGTAGGTAGATAGGAGGGAGGTGGTAGCACTACGGAAAAGACTGACGCATTTGGCCTCATTTACAAAGGTTTTTGAATTTATAGCAGCTCTCAGAACCGGCAGATTTAATTCAGATACATAATTGGGCCCTTCTGCCTGATACTCTCGGAGCTGAACGAGAATCGATTACCTGGGGACACTTTCTGTTGTGTTCTCTTGGAAAAAAGGAATGTAAAAAGGTGTATTGAGGTGCTATCAGGTGAATAGTTTTCCTATTTAATTGATTTTAAGCAAAAAACAGGTGAATTCATCTCTTGGTAATTTCAGATTGGTCTTTGAATACTTGATTTGGCTACAGAATGTAAGTGGTTGGCTATTGCCTTTTTTCAGATCATTGGTACAGATAGTCCTTCACTTACAACAGTTCATTTAGTGACCATTTGAAATTAAAATGGCTCTGAAAAAAGTGACACAACAGTTTTTCACATTTATGACCATTGCAGCATCCCCATGGTCATGTGAGCATAATTCAGACACTTGGCAACTGACTCATATTTATGATGGTTGCAGTGTCCCAAGATCATGGCTGTGGCTCCCGGCATCCCGATATAGTTAGTTGACTCCATCACTGACTATTGGGGGCGAGTCTTTGGCCCCCACAGAAAGGGCTCGCAATCTGGGAGTCCTCCTGGATATGCAGCTGTTCCTCCAACATCTGACGGCTGTAACCAGAGGGACCTTTTGTCAGGTTCGCCTGATTCGCCAGTTGCGGCCCTTTCTTGATCGGGATTCCCTGTGCACAGTCACTCACGCCCTCATCACCTCTTGCCTTGACTACTGCAACGCTCTCTACATGGGGCTCCCCTTGAAGAGCACCCGGAGGCTCCAGCTGGTCCAGAATGCAGCAGCGCGGGTAGTGACAGGAGCAGCATGGCGCTCCCATGTAACACCGCTCCTGCGCGAGCTGCACTGGCTCCCGGTGGTCTTCCGGGTGCGCTTCAAGGTATTGGTCATTACCTTTAAAGCACTCTATGGCATAGGGCCTAGTTATCTTCGAGACTGCCTGCTGCTACCGATGACCTCCCATCGACCCGTGCGCTCCCACAGAGAGGGCCTCCTCAGGGTGCCATCAGCCAAACAATGTAGGCTGGTGACCCCCAGGGGGAGGGCCTTCTCCGTGGGGGCACCTACCCTCTGGAATCAGTTGCCCCCAGAGATAAGGAGAATCCAAGACCTCAATGCCTTCCGCCGTGCCCTTAAAACCCACTTTTTCCAGCAAGCCGGGCTGGCTTAAGAAATTTTTAAATGTTTTAATTGGTTTGTGATTTTTAATTCTTGGGCCAAATTTATATATATTTTAATTGTTTTTTAATATTTGTATTTCATGTTCTTAATTCTGGCTGTACACCGCCCTGAGTCCTCAGGGAGAAGGGCAGTATATAAATTGGAAATAAAATAAATAAATAAATAAATGTGATCATCTTTTGAGACCTTCTGACAAGCTAAGTCAATGGGGAAACCAGATTCACTTAACAACCATGTTACTAACTTAAGAACTGTAGTGATTCACTTAACAACTGAGGCAAGAAATGTCGTAAAGTGGGGCAAAACTCATTTAACAAATGTCTCACTTAGTAACAGAATTTTTTGGCTCAACTTTGATCATAAGTTGAGAACTACCTCTAGTTTAGACTGGTAGTTTCTTTATTCAGAACTAAACAGGTCTTGTGACTGCCTCTTCTTATTTCTGAGCTCAGAATAACTCAACCAGGGTTTACACATCAAACTAAACTGAAACTCGAATTACATCTGGGCTTAAAGTGCCATAAGAATCAAGTTAATGTTTTCTAGTCCTTGGTGGTATATTCAGTAGTAAAGAACTATAACTGGTTACATTATTTCTCTTCGTGACCTGTCAGTTCATGCAGAGAGCATGCTCTTTATATACCGTGTTTCCCCGAAACTAGGACATGTCCCAAAACTAAGGCCAAGCCTGATTTTTGGGGTAGGCGTAAATATACACCTTCCCCTGAAAATAAGCCCTCCAGCAAGCGTGGCTGTTTTTGCCATGGATTGCGGCCATTTCTGCAGCAGGAGGCCAAGCGATGTGCCCCATGTGCCTCGCGTCAGCCTTCTGAAGGGTACTGTAGCAGCAGCTATCCACAATTTTTTTACCCTTATTTCGTCCCGACCGTACTGGGCCATGTGGGTCAGGATGAAATAAGGGTTAACAAATTGTGGATAGCTGCTGCAATGGTACCCTTTGGAAGGCCGGCGCAAGGCGCGAGTCTCCTGCTGCAGAAGTGGCTGCGCCCGAGGAGCGCTTTTGGGAGAGAATGCAAAGGGGAAGCGATCTCTTGCAAACTCTCGCCCTGCTCCCGCCTCTCCACCGGGCAACTCCCAGCAGCCCCAGATGCCCAAACCCCGTGCCTGCCTGGCTCCCTTTTCCACAGTGCCCAGCTCTTTATTGAGGAGGGTGGGGGAGAAGCGAGAGGCATGGAGCGAGACAGGGCTCGCTCTTCTTGCCGTTTCTTCTCCCCCTCTTGCCGGGTATGGCAGGGCTTCCTGCCCCAATTGGATGCAATTTGGGGATGGCAAATGAGGAGGGGTGGGGCTGGGGAGACATGAAATGTGTCTTACCTGCCTTGTAGCTCCGTCGCGTGTCTTGCTGTTGTTTGCAGGCAAACAATGTTGTAGGGTAAAAGAAACATCGCGAGTTCAAACTTCTCGTGAGAAGTTTGGCTTTACCCTACAACATGTTTGCCTGCAGACAATGGTGAGATATGCGACAGAGCTACAAGGCAAGTAAGACCTGTGTTTTGTGTCTCCCCGGCCCCACCCCTCCCCACCTGCCATCCCCAAATTGCATCCAATTGGGGCAGGAACAGGAAGCCCTGCCATGCCCGGTGAGAGTGGGAGAAGAGATGGCAAGAAGAGCAAGCCCTGTCTCACTCCATGCCTCTCACTTCTCCCTGCCCTACCTGCCATCCCCCTTGACAAAGAGACAGCAGGAAAGGGCAGAAGCCAGGCTGCTGTTACCATTGGAGTGCGTGGAGCCATCTTATCTGCCTTGCAGCTCTGTCGCGTGTCTCATCATTGTCTGCAGGCAAACACGTAGGGTAAAAAAAACCTCATGAGTTCAATCAAACTTCTCAAACTCGCAAGAAGTTTGGTTTTACCCTACGTGTTTGCCTGCAGACAACAGCGAGACAGCGACAGAGCTGCAAGGCAGGTAAGACGCGTGTCTCGCATCTCCCCAACCCCTGGCGAGGGGGGGGAGAAGAGATGGCAAGACACGTCTTGCTTCTCCCCCCTCAATAAAGAGCCGGGTGCTATGGAAAAGGGAGCCAGGCGGGCTCAGGCTTTGGGCGTCTGGGGCTGCTGGGGGTTGCCTGGCAGAGAGGTGGGAGCAGGGTGGTAGTTTGCAGGCGAGGGGGTTGGATGGATGGATGGATGGGAGCGAATAGCTGCCACAGTAGCGCAACACAGCAGAAGCTATGAGGTGGCCATGCTCACTGTCTCCTGCACCCCCAAAATAATAAGACACCCCCCCCCCGATAATAAGGCCAAGCCCTTATTTCGGGGTTCAAAAAATATAAGACAGGGTCTTATTTTTGGGGAAATGCGGTATTAATTAAAATACGCTTTTGAAAAATGAAAATAAGGGAAATGATGGTACTGTCAACATGTTTTTATCATTTGGTATCCAGAGAAAATTGTGAAATAGTAACTTTTCTTTATTGTGTTTTTACATCTAGTTCTTATATGATACGTGATATGGGCAATTATTTAATTAAGGATTGATACAGCTTTGAATCTGCTTTGTCCAGTAATTAAGATGATTAAATCCGAAATTCTGAAAAGTCACTCATCTATTCCTCATTCTGATGATGTAATAATTGCTTGTGAAGATGGGTCTTTCCAAAAAACAGGGCAGAAGACAAGGATTGTAGGTCCTGAAGAAGTAAAACAATTAGCCCAAAATCAGGTATCTGACTTAGTATCTGACTTCAAGCAACAGAAACTTGAGAAAGAAGCACAAAAGAACTGGGATCTATTCTACAAAAGAAACAGCACCAATTTTTTCAAGGACAGACACTGGACAACAAGAGAGTTTGAAGAATTAAAAGCCTGTGGTAAAGTGAGTTTCACATTCTCTGGCACCAGATGGCAATAAAGAACTACTATAGAAAAATATCTGAATTGGAAGCCTATCTAATTTACAGGTGTCAAATTCACCATGTCACATTCACCATGTCACATTGCTGTCATGTGATGTATCACAATGTTTTTCCCCTTTGCAGAGCTGGGTGGGTGTGGCCTGCGCGTGACGCATCTGGTCCATGGGCCGCCAGTTTGACACCCCTGCGTCTAACTGATCTTACGTTATGCATGCTATAAAATTCAGGCTAGGCTGGTGCAATATATTTCTTTGCATATTCCATGATAAGAGTTGAGA